CCCGGGCTGGGGAAACAGACGGAATCCCGCCCAAGCAGTAAGGATGGCACTTTGATCCTGATAATTGAAGGGCTGCAGAGGGGTGAGGCTAAGGGGAGTGGGAGCGTTGGTGAGGAAGGGAAGCCTCACCCGGAGGAGGTGGCGGCCTGTGAAGGAGCTGCGTACCGGTTCACTGAGCTGTCCGTGGGCCTGAGCTTTTGGGGAAAGCCGCAGAAGTCTTGGAGGTCAGGGCTGGCGGGCAGGTAGGGTGGGGGCTCGGGCGTGAAGGGCCGTGTGCGCGCAGCCTTCTGGGGACCGGGAGGGTAAACGTCTCCGAGTGTGAGCGCGGCAGGAGGGCCTGGCCGCCCCCGCTGCGGGGGTTGCCTGGTCTGGCCTGGCGGCCTCGGCAGCTCAGGGATGGTCAGTGTCAGGGGAAGGCCGTCAGTGTCCACTTCTTGCTCCTGGCTCTGCGAAGGCTCCCTTCAGGCCCAGCAGCACAGCTGTGTGAGGCTTTGTACCTGAGCCAGGGACCAGATTGTCTGGGCAACTGGGGAGGAGGCTGGAGTCAGCCCCAGTTCTTCCTCAGCAAACCCGAGGAGTCAGCTTGAGTTAAGAGATCCAGCTTGCTCTCTTGCTACCACAGGCCTTTTCCAGAGACTTTCTGCCCCCACAGAACCAGGGCCCTACCTTGGAGGGAGGGGGGGTGATAACAGCAGAAAACCACCCACCCACAGGGTGCCCAGGCTAGCTGGTCTCACAGCTGCCTCCTGCCCCAACTGGTCCACCCCTCTGCTGCCGCAGGCCCAGTTATGTTGCCAGCGAGGAGAGCCGAATCCTTGTTCTCACTGAGCTGCTGGAGAGAAAAGCCCACTCTCCGTTTTACCAGGAAGGTGTGAGCAATGCCCTGCTGAAGATGGCCGAGCTGGGGCTGACCCGGGCGGCCGACGTTCTCCTGCGCCACGGGGCCAACCTCAACTTTGAAGGTCAGCTGGAGCCCAGAGGGGCTGGGGAGGGATAGGTGGCTTAAGGGTGGCTCTGCCTTTCTGGTTCTCTTGGGAGCCGCTTCCCTTATTTCTTCCGTGGGTGGGTGGCGACTGAGGAATCCCATCCCCCTGTGGGCCTTCAAGTGGCTCTGACCCCCTCTGGTCCGAGAGTGAGTTTGTAGCTGCCTGCACCGTGTGCTTGATCAGCAGACTTTCCCAGCTAAATCCCTGCTTCCATTAACATGAAAATGCGGCTGCTGGCACTGTGCCCAGAGCTCAGGGAGAGCAATTTTCTGCCACTTACTCTGAGCCATCTCGCATTTTTGCCCATGCCACAAGGAGAGGGAAAAACACAGAAGCGACGCTGGGTGTAAATCATGGCAGGGCCCGGTTAGCTTCTAGCCTGGAGGTGCCAGGGGATGGAGATGGAGCCATTTTCCTTTCCTCTGTGGCTTTCTCACCGGGGAGGGCAGGGTCAGCCAGGAGACATGCAGGGCTGACTTGTGACCAATGCAGGTCTTTGAGCTGCCACAGTATGTGGCCGGGCACGCCTCCCCTCCCCATGTGAGGACAGGTGCGGAGGGCGCAAGGCTCCGGGAGGGCCAAGGAGCCCAGGGTGCGGGCTGTTACGAAGTCAGTCACTTGGAGACTGGCTGCGAGAACGTGGCTGTTACTGTGAGGCTTCAGGAGCCGTCACTGGAGGTGCCTCTCCGCAGCAGCCTGAGAAGAGGCGCCTTGTCTTACAGTTCCATTTTACAGAAGAGACTAAAGCCCAGACTGAGGGGCTGCCTGCCCCCGGGACCCTGCCCGAGGTCTGACTCCAGCGCCTGCGCTCTGGCCTCTGCTGGGGATGGCTCTGTCCGGACCCCTCACGGTGCCAGAAGCCCGGGTCTCCTCCGGTGGGAGGGCTGGGGCGAGCCGGAGGCCGGGTGCGGACAGGCAGGACTGACACGAGTCGTGTCTGTGCTTTCAGACCCTGTCACTTACTACACGGCCCTGCACATCGCCGTCCTGCGAAACCAGCCAGACATGGTGGAGCTGCTGGTGCGCCACGGGGCGGACATTAACCGGAGGGACCGGGTAAAAGCCGGGTCCGGCCTGCTCGGAAGCAGGGATGTGGTGGGGGGAGCCGCGAGCAGCCTCCCAGGCCCCTGGGCCTACTCAGCTGTGCTTTCTTGGCTCAGATCCACGAGAGCAGCCCCTTGGACCTGGCCAGTGAGGAGCCTGAGCGCCTGCCCTGCCTGCAGCGCCTCCTGGACCTCGGAGCGGATGTCAACGCAGCTGACAAGCATGGTGGGTGCCTCCCAGGGGAAAGCAGAGTGCCTTGTGAGGGAAACCCAGAGCACCCCAGGGCAGTGGCCGGGCATACAGGCTGGACGCAGCCTGTCTGATGACACAGCGCAGCCAGGCTCACAGTGGATTTTGTTGACCTGCAGAGGCTTTCGGGAAGTGGTGCAGCCAATGGCCCCGCACCAGCCCCTTGAGGTCTGTCTGTAGGAGGAAGTGGGGCGTGCGCGCGGTCAGATTCTGGGGCGGCGTTGGGGGGGGGAGCCATGACTTCTTCTTGGCAAAGACGCAGCCCAGGGCTCAGGTGGCATCTGAGTGTCCTGAAAAATCCCAGCTCTTCTGTCCACTCTGCTCGTGGTTTTGTGTGGGTGGAAAGAGAATGACCAGAAACCGGTCACCCTCAGCCTTGGCTGAGAGGTCGATCGTTTTTAAAGGGGCACCTGGCTGGCTTCAGTTGGTAGAGCACACGACTTGATCTCAGTGTTACGAGTTCAAGCCCCACGTTGGGTGCAGAGGTTACTTTAAAATCCTTGGGGCGCCTGGGTGGCTCAGTGGGTTAAGCAGCTGCCTTTGGCTCGGGTCGTGATCCCAGGGTCCTAGGATCGAGCCCCGCATTGGGCTCGCTGCTCCGCGGGAAGCCTGCTTCTCTCTGTGTGTCTCTGTCAAATAAATACATAAAATCTTTAAAACAAATAAATAAAATCCTTGAAAACAAAAAAAAGTTCACTTTCTCATCCTGCGTGGTTTCCCTTGCACCTCAGGGGTTGCCCTGACCTCAGCTTCCTGGTCCCCACTCCTCTTCATTCTCTTCCTCCTGTAGGAAAGACTGCTCTGCTCCACGCCTTGGCCAGTAGCGACGGGGTGCAGATTTATAACACTGAGAACATCCGGCTCCTACTGGAAGGAGGTGAGGCTCGTCTGCAGGCTGTTCCCAGGCCTTGCCCTTCCCTCCCACCATTACACACGAAGCACTACTTTGCAGGGGTTTAAGACCTCCCATCTTCTCTTTTCCCGACTGGCTCTTATAGGCGCAGATGTCAAGGCCACCACCAAAGATGGGGACACCGTGTTCACCTGCATCATCTTCCTGCTTGGTGAGACCGTGGGAGGGGACAAAGAGGAGGCCCAGATGATCAGCCGCTTCTGCTTCCAAGTCACGCAGTTGCTGCTCGCCCACGGGGCCGACCCCAGCGAGTGCCCAGCCCACGAGTCCCTCACACACATCTGCCTCAAGAGCTTCAAACTGCATTTCCCTCTCCTGCGCTTCTTGCTGGAGTCCGGAGCAGCCTATAACTGTTCCCTCCATGGTGCGTCCTGCTGGTCTGGCTTCCACATCATCTTCGAGAGGCTCTGTTCCCACACAGGCTGTGCTGAAGATGAGAGCCACATGGACCTCCTGCGCAAAGCCGAGACCGTCCTGGATCTCATGGTGACTAATTCCCAGAAACTGCAGCTGCCTGAAAACTTCGATATCCATCCTGTGGGCAGCCTGGCAGAAAAGATCCAGGCCCTTCACTGCTCCTTGAGGCAGCTGGAGAGCTATCCTCCGTCCCTCAAGCACCTGTGTCGCGTTTACATCCGGCTCCATCTTCAGCCCTGGCCTGTGGACGTGAAGGTCAAAGCCCTGCCTCTGCCCGACCGGCTGAAGTGGTACCTCCTTAGTGAGCACAGCGGTACTGTTGAAGAGGACATCTGACCACTCCCAAACTGAAGGGAGCAGGGTCTGGGCAGCTCAGTCTCCTGGTGGATTTTGGTACCTGCGGCAGCCTTAGGGGAGAACCTTCTGGCCTCCTGTCAGAAGGTAGAGGTTGGGAGATGAGACTTGATCCTCACTGTGTACCAAGAAAACCAGGTGGAGCCCAGCAGCTGCAGTCATTCCAGTGGGAAAAGGCTTCGTCTTCCAGGGGGACTGCCCCCCTTCTGTTTGGCAGAACTCCCAGTCTCAACCACATTGGGAAAAAGGACCGGGTTTAGATTTGGGACGAGTGTACACCCTGTTCATCCGCGGGGAGCATCGGGCAGGGTGGCTCTGAGTCTCGGTCCTGAGAACTGCAGGAGGCTGGTCTGTCTTGCATGGGGCCCAGCTGAAGCCAGGAGGAAGCGCGGTGGGCCTGTGGGGGCACGACCCCACTGAGGCCCTTCACTCCCACCTCTCCCCGTGCTAGATTATTAGGTCACTTACCAAAGTGCTTTCGGTGGGCCAGGGAGAAAGCTGAGCTGACCCCTGCCACCTTTGGCTGCTCTGGGGCCAGGTCATCCATGGCCCGGCCCACCAAGGCACGGGACTGGATTCCGGTGGCAGCTCTGTCTGTGCCAAACCTGGGATCTTGGGGGACCGTGCCTTCTGCTAAAAAGCAATCCTGCATGACCAGGGACAGTCCTTTCCAAAATGTGTTTTGTGAGGGGTTCATCTGATATTGAAAGCTACCAATACTGCAAGCTGACTGTACTGTCCACGCCGAACCTTCACGAAGCCGAAGCCGCTTCCCAGTCATGGTCCTTGTGAATTGTGTGAATGCCGGGAGGCAAGCTGAGGCAACTAAAGGATACATTATAAAGTAAAATGTTTCTCTTGGCCTTCAAGGTCCTTGTATGACGTTTTGGCCCCCTCCGCGCCCTCCCCCAGCCTAGGACAAAGGCTCCCACCGCAGCCATTAAAAGGTGAGAGGCACGAGGGGAGGGCGGCATCTGGTGGGGACAGTTTCCAAGTAGCACCGCACTGCTGTCCCAGTAAAGAAGAGCACCACTCCAGACTGGCTAGGGCCTTCCCAGTACAGGATTTACCCTTTTATTTTTTGACTGAAAATGCTCACCAAGGAGGAGCTGCAGGGCACAGCCAGGAGTGAGGCTGCAGACTTCCCTTGCTGTAGCCCATTGTGACGATCACATTAGGGACACCAGGGCTCCCATCACCAAACAGGCCTCAGAACGTGAACATCCCCAGCAGCTGCAGGCTCCACGGCCCGGCTCCTCTCCTCCCCCCAAGGGAAAAAGTCCTCAACAACCGAGAGTTCTCTTCCTCTTAAGGCACCCAGGCCTGTGGCTGGAAGGCTGGGTGGTTGAAAGGGAGATCCAGAAAATCTCCCACTTGTGGTGGGATCGCTGTATTCCCACGTGGGGAGCCCCAGGGGCCCTGGAGTCCCATGGTCTGCACTGCCCGGTCCCTGCCTCTCAGGGCCACAGAGCCAGGCCCCAGCCTCACTGCTCTGTCCAGTGGTGCCCTCCCCACTGGGTCCCATTATGCCTTTTGAAAAAGAGTCTAGTGACGGACGGCAGACAGGTATATTTAGCAGTCTCACTCAGCACTCCCGAACCATCATCATGGAGCCTCTGGGTCTTGCCCGGCTGCCAGCCCCCCACCCCACACTGGTCCCTTTCTCCTGCCATCCCCTGCTCATCTCAGGGCTAAGCTATAGACGTGGTAGATCTCATCGGGGAGGTTCTCCTGGCGCTCCTGGGCTAGGAGGCTGAGGCCTGCGCTGCGGACGATCCTGTGGACCACCTCGAGGTCCCGGCACACGCTGCTGTCCACGTCGTCCAGGATCACGCCCTCCTGGGCCATGTTGTCTTTGATGACAATGATGCCATTGGGGCGCAGGCCCTGCTTGCAGCGCCGTAGGAACTCCGCCAGGTGCTGATCGGTCAGGTGGCCTGGGGACAGCAGAGGCCGGAGTCACGAGGGAGGGAGTGGTGCCAAGCGTGTACATACCACTGGCCGAGTCTCTCAGCCTCCGCTCACACTTACCGAGCTCTGTCTAAACGTGCTCAGCAGTCCAGAGAGGCTTACCAAATCCCGTTCTATGTAAGAGGAAGCTGGCTCAGAAGGCACTCACCCAAGGGCTGTCACAAAGTACACAGCTGGGATTGCACCCTGACTTGGTGACTTCTGGGCACTGCCCAACACCTACGCTCCAGGCCACCCCCCCGCCCCGAGGCCTGGATTAGGGAGTGCATACCAGACCGTTCCTTCCCTAATTAGAATTCCAGACGGGCTGTTAGGGACCACAAAATACAGGGCCAGACCCAGTGTGTCCCCAGCAGGGCTGTGGTGTCTGCTGTGGAGTGGGCGGCCAACTGCTGGTACAGCGGCCTGCCGGCCAGGTCAACAGCCCAGGGAGAGCACCCTGGGCGTGCTGTGGGGCTAAGTGGGTGCAGGAGGGACGGCAAAGCAAGGCTCACTCGCTGTGAACAGCAGGGGCAGCCAAGGCTTCAATTTTTCCTCTTATTAAAAAACATTTACTTATAAAAACTCATTTCCACGTTACTTGAATGCAGTTAAGTTATTGGTCATTTACATTTTTTCAACCAAAAACTGCACCCAAGTGGGTCATAACAGGTACTGACAAAGCATGGAAGGTGAGCCCAAGGAGGACTGGAGAAAGCCCTGCCCTCCTGCCCGCTGCAGGAGCACTGGGGCCGCCCTCCAAGGTGGCGGGGGGGGGGGGACACGGACCCGCCCCTACAGTGGGAGGTGCGTGGAAGGTGCGTGGAGGGTGGAGAGGGCCACGAAAAGCTCACCTATCACCCACTGGATCCAGATGACATCGTAGGAGCTGGGCTCGGGGCTGAAGTCCTGGAGGCCGCAGCAGAAGTAGTTCCTCACCCTCTTGCCCTCGTCCCCCAGGTACGTCCTGGCTTTGACCAGAAAGTCTTCTGTCACGTCCACCATGTCCACCACCGCGAAGAGTGGCAGCAGCAGTCGCTTGGTGATCCTGCCTATTCCGGCCCCACAGTCCAGGGCACAGGAGGTCCCCGTCTTGTTTGGGCCTTCCTGAGAAGCAGGGAAGGCACAGACTCCGTAAGGAAGGCTCAGAGAGTCTGAGGGACCCTGTCCCCGAGAAGGGGCTGTTCCTCCCAAGCTCCCAGGTACTCAAATCAGGACTGGGCACAGGCCGGGGGCTGGCATGGGGGGTCGCCAGTGGGTAGGACCACAGCACATTCTTGCCTGGGACACACATTCCTAAAACGCAAGCCGACTGCCACTTAAAGGTGATTAACTTGGACAGGTGCATTTATCTCCTCTCACTCCCGACACCCCAGTAAAACCACAGGATGAAAAGAATTCAAGCCGTGAAAGAATGGAAGGCAGTCGGTGATTTTCACAGATCAGGGAAGGTGGGAAGTGGGAGGGGAGACCCCACGTAGTGTGGGGAGCAAGCACCAGCCTCTGATGCTTGCCAGGGGAGGCTGCAGCCAGGGACACGCCAGCCTGGCCCAGGGAGGACAGAGCAGGTGAGGAACCAGGAGCATGCCTTCAGCAGAACAGCCCGTACCCCCAGCCCAACAGGCCGCAAACACAGCAAGAGCGCGAAGGGTTCGCCCCTGACAAAACCGAACAGTTAAAGGAAGACTCCATTCTGGTGCCCAGGAGCCCCCGCACAGCGGCCAGCTCCCATGTGGCAACCTTGAGACAGAGGCCCCAGTTCACACGTCACCCCCGCACCACCCTTCGAGGCCTGGGTGGTTGCCGCCAACCGATAACCAAAGGCCCTGCGGTGGTTCGTGTAAAAGGTGGCGCCCCGCGCAGACCAGGCCGGGCCACCAGGGCCACATCCTCTGCTCCTAGGCGGCACGCCAGACCTGCCTACCCTCAAAAACCTCTGCAGGAACTTCCGGGAGCTGCTGATGTCGATGCTGGAGATGTGGCCATACCCCCCGAGCATGCCGTCCACTGTGGGCGGGACTTCCTTCCAGTACGTCTTGGCCTTCGAATAGAACTGTTTCTCGTCTTCTATCACCTCACTTGTCATGCTGTCACCAACTGAGTCAGCTCAGGCACCAAACTCAGCAGCAGTGCCTCCTGAACAACAAAAAAGAGCAAATCAGCCAGGTTGAGGGCCTCAGTCTCACCCCATGCTTCACGAGGTCACACAACCCTGCCCGATGTAGAGAAATGTCCAGTGTCCCCAAAACCGCTTCTATCCCTTGGATGACAGTACCTTCTGTCTCTTGTATTCAAGTCATTTTGCAAAATTACCTTTGTATCAGAGGAGAAGACCCAGAGTCCTGGGCTTCTAGTCCTTTCCTTACTAGACATGACACCTGACCTGATGGCTTCTAACACTAGGGCATAGAGAACTCCCAATCTACACTTGAGGAAAGTGAAGTAAGGAGCCCCAGCCTTCTACCATGGGTGTTCTGGCTGATCCTGGGAGGGACCTGGGGAGTCTGCACGCCTCCCTCTCACTTGCGAGCACAGAACGAAGCTCGCTGTGGGGTCCGGTCTGTGGTTAACCATGTGCTGGGACAGTGTACCAGGCGCTGTGCCGGGAAGTGGGCAGACAGCTCCATGCACACACTGGCAACTGCAGGGCCGCAGACTAGTACAAGATGCGGGCACGGCACACCCTAGAGGAAGTGCTTCCCTGGGGAGTCGAGGAAGGCATCCCGCAGAGAACCACCATCAGCTGAAACAATAAGGAAGAGCTCACTAAGCCAGTGGGGCAAGCCTGCTCCAGGAAGACAGGTGTGAAAGGCACACAGAGAGTGCCTGCAACTGGAAACACAGGGTCGGGGCGGGGGCACATTCGTCGATTGGACTCCCCGCTGAAGAGCAGTGAGGTCAAACTACTCTAGGGTAAGCAGGGAGTGACAAGGGATGTGTGTTTCCGGAAGACCGTGTCAGCAGCTGTGTGGGCTTCGGGGGCGACAGTGAAAACAGACACAACAAGAGAGTGTTACCATGACAGGTGGAGGGGTAACGACAAAGCAAGAGCCAGGGCCTGGGGGAGGGGGAGGGCTCGGCAGCTGCACACCCAGCCAGCCCAGCCACTCATGCCAGGGAGGGACAGAAGGGGCACATCTCTATCCTGAGGCACCGGCCCCCACAACACGTTCGCCATGTGCACGTGCTGTTCTAGTTGCTCTGCGGCTTGCTGAGACACCGTCCGACCCTCAGGGAGCTTCCAGTCCAGCAGGAGACAGAATCAAGTGGAACCAACTAAAACACAATGCAGAAACAGTGAGACGCTCACTGAGCCAAAAGTCCTGTGGAAACTCAACGAATGGAGGACTCCCTTCCAACTGGCAGATGGAGCAGCAGCCAAGAGAAGGCAACCTCGCTAGGCCCCGAAAGACAGGGGATGATGGGGGGGGGGGGCTCGAACAAGGACAGAGCGGGTGGTGCCCGTGTGCCCCCCGGAAGACGGTTCTAGGGACGGCCTGGGCTGGTTGGAATGCAGACAGAGGGAAAGGGTATTACGGGAGACGAGCTTAGACAGGCAGACTGGGCCTGGATTACGGGAGGCCCAACGGTAATGGAAAACCAATCAGCTGAGAGTTTCCGAAGGGCCCTAGGTGTGCCGGGCTGTCAGCAGCGGCGGGCCCAACGGGCAGAGTGGGGGCCGAGTGGGAGCGGCAGGAACCACCGGCAGTGGGGACACGCAGCAGCGTCGTGGGAAGACAGCTCTCAGCTTAGGGGTCACATTGTCAGAGGCCCTCCTCCCTGACCGGCCCCGCTAAGGTGGCTTCCTCCAACAGCCCAATCCAATGCCCACGTTTTCCTGCCCTCAGAATGTGTACTTCTATCTGAAATTACACTGTTTACTTGCTGTCTAGCCTCCACTGGGATGGAAGCTCCAGAGGCGCAACCTTGCCTTTTCGCCACTGTGTCCCCAGCACCAAGCCCACAGGAGTCCCTCGGTGCAGGGCTGAAAGCCTCCCACCCCCCCAATCCACCAGGAACACTGCACGACTGTGCTCCTGGGGCTTCACTCCCTCCACCTTTACACCACTCCACTGGGTGGTAGTTAAGTCACTCAGTCCTGGAACACAGTGTGACAGGAAAGCTTCATGTGGGACCCCGGGAGAGTGCTCAAAACAAGTGAAAAACCTCTAGGATGGAGGAATGCCTTAAGGGCTTCAAGAGAAGTCATCCGATGGGAAAAAGAAAAGTGCCTTGAGGACAAGCATATAGCCCTCGATACATAATTCAGAGACTGACTATAAGGAGAGAAGGAAAGGGAACAAAACACGAGAAGAGGTGAAGAATTTTCACTGGCCACGTTTGTCACTAATCCCCAGTGCACAACTGTACTCTGAACTTGTCCTAGAAGACAAGGAACCTTCCAGAAGCAGCAGGCCCACAACTGCCCAACAACTCAGGAACGCTCTTCACTGATGCAATCCTGCTTCCGCCACGGTCAGCCCTTTCCAGGGAGCCCAGCTAGCCAGCGGAGGCCCCGGGGGAGGGCCCTCCTCCCCATCTCCTGGCTCCTTCCTGGATTTGGACATTCCTCACAGACAAGACCACACTGGTCCTCTGAGGAACCAGAAGAGAAGCGACAGCATCCATGTGCCCTAACAGGTCCAGTTCTTAGTTCTTAGACCTGTGACTGTCACTGTTTCTGCCCTCTAGAGCCCTTCTGCTGTGTGGAGAGAGTCCTCCAATCCCCTTCAGATTCTTGAATCAGCTCTCAGGCTGATGCTCCAGCTTCCCTGTTCAGGTTACAAGGGTCTGGGACCACAGTGAAGACAAGTTTCAACTACTGTGTCAATTGAAGGGCCCTTTGGGGTAACAGGCTGGGGGGGCTGGTTCTAAATACAGCATCCCCTTACCCTGGCTCCCCGCCATGTCCCACACCAGTGTGGGAAAGAGAAAGCGGCACACTGCTCAACAAGAATGACAGCCCTGAGTCACAGGGTAAAGCAAAAGAACGCAGAAATCTGCTGATAGCCAGGAATGCTATCATTCCTATATCACGTACAGTGATGTCCCTGAGAGCTAACAGGAAAGAGGGCCACCGGCCTGAATGTCACCACGGAGCTCAGTCTGGGGGCTACCCAGCCCCCACCAACAGGCCCCACAGTCACCATGTCACAGCCTCTCCACCATTACCCAGGAAGGACGGCATCAAAGCCGGCTCTTCCACTCAGCACTCAGACGGGAGCTCGGCAACACCGACCCTGTCCCCATCACTGCCCACCAATCTTGACAAACTGCTGGTTTTGTCTTCTTATCTATCTCCCCACGGGCCTGGGAGCTCCTTGGAGAATGGTGGCGACACCCTGAGATGTATCACTGCATTTCTCTTGCGTCCCATATAGCATTCAACAAAAAGTTCACTCCCCACGAAATGAATGGAATAAATGTGGGGCCACTCCCCTGCCTGTACTCTCTCTGCCTGCCTGCCTTCCCTCCCAAGGAGGTCAACTTCCTGGGGACAGGGACATGACCTCATTCCCGATTAGCCCAGCACCGGACACAAAGCGGGGGGATGCTAATTGGTTGCTGAATGAACCAAAGAATGAGCTTTGTGGGGCTACATTTTCCACTTTTGAGAAAAATCCAACAAAAATCCAACCATTCAAAACTGGTAACACTGAAGGCCATTACCGACAATGTAATTTTTGTGCTTTACCAAAAGCCTTACAACATGATTTCTTTAAATGTCAAGGTCCTCTGAATAATCTAATTTACAAGAACTCCACTTACAGGCAGATTCTAGGAACAAGCCAGGGGAGGAACATCCAGGCCAGGAAATGCCACGTCTAATTTTGACATTTGTTCCAACAGCTGATTCATTAGTAAACGTGACTCCCTGGGGCCCTGTCTCACCTTGCCTCCCGGTGTCCAGATTGGAGTGGGCAGGAGGTCCCTAGGGGTCACAGGAACAGTGGGGTTGTCAGTCAAATAGCAGAAGCCCTCATATACTCTGCCCAGGCTGTGGTGAGGAGCTACATGGCTGCAGGGGTGGGCACAATCTGGCTTTGTGTGCACTCTCGACTAGCTTGTACGGGAGAAGCCCTTTGCTCATAGTGGACTCTGCTCCGCAGACAGAATGTGTTGTCCACCATTCAGTCATCTGGCCACCTCCTCTTCCCCTACGAGGTGTTTAGGGGGACAGGTGGGTAGCCGCCCCAGCTACTTCTCCCAGGATCCATGGAAAAGAACGGTGTTTAAACTGTCACTGTCAGTGCTCTGGGGAGGCCTCGCATCCTCCTCATTTACCAGTCTCTAAGAAAAAGCCTGGAATTAACAGGAGACAAGAGCCTGCCTGAAGTTACCTCCTTCCTCTTGCAGCCTGCTGAAAGGGCCTGTTCTCCCTGGATCTGAGACAGCAGCTGGACATATGGGAATGGCAAGGTGCTCTATGAAAAAGAAAGGGAAGGAGGAAGTAAAGATGACTAAAAAAGGCTGGGAGCGGAAGGGAGATGGGAGTGTTTAAAAACAAACTAACGCGGGCGCCTGGGTGGCTCAGTCGTTAAGCGTCTGCCTTCGGCTCAGGTCATGATCCCAGGGTCCTGGGATCAAGTCCCACATCGGGCTTCCCGCTCTGCAGGAAGCCTGCTTCTCCCTCTCCCACTCCCCCTGCTTGTGTTCCTGCTCTCGCTATGTCTCTCTCTGTTAAATAAATAAA